ATCGTGGGCGTTATCGGTGATTGAAACGATACTGTCTATCGATGCTTTTTGCGAGATGTGCGCTTTGACGTGCCTCTCTACACAGTGTGTATCCGTGTCTCATGAACAGATTTTGAAACGAGCATCGAATATACAAAATATATAGAATTTTTCCGTCAAAAAAAAAATTCGACGCTCGAAACACGTGCCGAACAAACGCCTAATACTTCATCGCGTTGTAAACGCGAAATAGAAATTTCAGATGTAGCAATTACAATTATACAGATGTTACAGTACTTGTATGAAAAAAAAAAAAGTGAACACCCGGTACGTACTGAAACGTTCAGATTTACATCCATTTGTAGTAGCATTTTCGCTAGTTTTTCAAGAGAAAAAAGGACACATTCAAAACTAAATATACATGTCACAGATGTTTGTTTATGTACAGGTTGTAACTTTGCAAACATATGTATATATATATATATATATATATTACAAATATACTACGTAGTATATTTCCATGTTATGTAACATCTTCACAATGACAATCGGTCGATTCCTTCGCTCCGAAATGTTCATGTGAACAGTTAATCTATATCCCAAGCAGCGCGATGTAATGTCATGCGGCGCGCAAGTCTCATTAGACTTGTAAACCGTTCGAGTTTCGACTTACCATATGAGTGTGTGTGTGTGTGTGTGTGTGTGTGTGTGTGTGTGTGTGTGTGTGTACGCGCACACACGTTTGTTAATACATTTGCGTGTTGAACGCGGAATGAACAGAGATTTGCACACACGTGAGAAATGTCACTTGTCGATATAAATACTAATTGTGAAAAATACATATTTCTCTCTTCAAGTACACGGGATTGTTGAATTATTCTCAATCGCTTCACGCGCGCGAGTATCGGGATATTAATTAGCGAGCGAGCGCTCAAGTTCGAAATGCACAACGAGTCCTTCTGCTGTAGCGGGAAATAAAATAGTTGCGCGATGATCACAAATGAGTGTCTTTAAACGTGAATTACATTTTATATTATGGCAGTTCTCACAGTGTAAAATTATAATCGAATTAACATTGCGGTACGGTCGTTACGATCTTAGTATAATTATAACGTCTAAAGACAAAACACATAACACGTACACACTTTTATCTCAGTGCACGCATGAAATATAATATATGCATTCGGAGAGTTTTTACGGCACGTTATGTTTCCACACCGTTTCCTCCTCTTGTTTCACTTATCCTCGCCATCGCTTCACCGAGAACAATGGTGTTTGAGATCTGGCGCCGATAAATTGATTTTTACGCGACATATATGTAACTTCTCTACTACTTCCCCCATCTTTTCTAAGCGATCCTTTATCACACCCGCTTCATATGCGCGACTGCCTCTCTTTCTTGCCGCTGGGATCCGCGAAACCATACGGATAAAGTTATCTTACATTTACCAACATTGGAATTAGCAAAGCTAATTTTTCGGCTGTTCTTTGTCGTACATAAACACACGTATAATGTACACGTGTATTATGTATACATTTATATACGGAGAGTAAAATATATATACATATATATATGTATCTCTGTGTGTATATGTGCGATCAAGGAAACGAAAAAAAAAAAAAAATATTTATGTAACATTGAGTTTATCGTAAAGAAGAAGTATAAATAGTTTTGATGTATCAGAAAAGACGGGTTTAAAAATTTAACACTTCGTGAAACTTTTGAAGTGGCACAGGCAAGAGCGTTTATGTCTTTACACATAAAATTACACCAATAATATCGCCTCGACAATATCTCTCAATAAAAAATACGCCTTCATGTGTAATAAGACGTTAACGTTTTTGTTTGTATAAATGAATAATTATGTGAAGTTGAAGTTGTGGAAGAGAAAATCAACCGTTTATAAGCGGATGATGTAACACCCGGAGTCATCGGTAACGGAAGCCTCTACATTTCTGTCGAGGTCACAAACTAGGTTATTAAAAATCACCTTTTATGCTAACCAAAATCGACCATGGCTCTGTGATGATCGGGTCATGTATATTTATAAGATTTATATCACGCCAGAATATCAGGGTCTAACACCGGCTTACTCTTTGACCCGCGGGAATATATAATACGTTTGTCTAAAATTTATACACGTCCTCTATATTTTTTTTATGACAGATAATATATCGGTATTTATAAAGTATTATAATCGATTCGGCAAAACTGCTGAAAAAATATCAAACAACAACATGTCATTCGTGTGTACGTGTGTGTGTTCTGTGCTTATTACTTATAATATACTAATCAGAACATTATGCAACACCAATATATTTAGATAATGCACCAATATATTTAAATAATAATTTATATTATTGCAAAATAATTAAGTCTTACGTAGAAACGTATCTCATATACATATCAACAACAAATTAATCTTGTTTTCCTAATTTGCCGCATTTAATGCTTTCAATAACAAAACATAACGATTTTTTCTTACAGTAAGATTGTGCATAAAGAACACATTAAATATATACAATAAATATGTATAATAAAAAAAAGAACAACAAAATAATAATCCACTCGTCTTATTGACGAAAGGTTTATAGCGATTTGGGTAGCAGGTAATAATTTTTAATGACAATAGATTAATAAGAAAATATCTGATTCCACACTTTATTTTTTTTCGTTGCATACGTAAACTTTATATATATCTCTCAGAATAAAAAAAAGAAGTGGAAGTTGTTGACGTGGCTGACCGGCTTTCAATCTCTCTTCTTTTTTTTGTTTTACCTCGAAGATCGCCTTGTCGACGTTCACATATCGTGATATTATGGATTCAACGCAATGCATATGGTTGTCACTCGCCCGCATCTTCTCTCCCATAGGGATGTATAATATCTACTCCTGAATACATACATATACGAATAGTGGATACACGTGCATTTGAATGCGTTAATATACAAGCACGTCAACGTGCGCACGTACATGTGCGCATACATGTTTATGGCGCTGCGCGTGAGCACTTTTCTCTCTTTCCGTCTTTTTCTTTTTTTCTCTCATAGAAGTCAGAATAAATATTATATGTATTTTTTTTTTTTTGTTTTACGTTTATTGTGTGTGGAACACGTATGAGAGACACACGCACTTGGCACTTCAGTTTGCTGCGTAAACTCGTTCGTCATTGATTGCAAAATGACACAGAAATTGCTTTTTTTTTTTACAATAATAAACATATTTGAAAAAAATAATAATTTATTTTATACACACGTATATTAGATGCGCACACACATGTTCTTTGTGTAACGTTCTAATTTGATATGCCGGGCATCAAATGCGCACACACACAGTTTCACATTAAATGAATTTTAGTGCGCTATCAGATCCATAATGCAATATGTGTCCACGTTTCAGGTTACGGAGTGCAGTAGTTAATACTGGGCAGTTCCGAATTGTTAACTATTCGCGTAAACAGTCTCGCTGTGACGGGAAGGAATGTGCGTGAAAGAATGTCGACCAACGTCTAATGCTTTCTCTAATACCTCAACGATGTCGTCGTCTTCGGTAAACCAGATGCGAATTGTAAGTTAACGTCGTCGCCCTTCGCGTAACAGCTGTTGGTGTGCGCCTTCGTTTCCACTCAATAGGACACTCAATATATTTCATGGACGACACGAATTAGGAAACGGCGCGCCATCAATTACTATTAGCATTACGTATTTTTGGAAAGTCACATATGGTCGGCAGAGAGAGGGTGACATCATCTTTTTTTTTTTTCTTTCCCCGACATATACCGTCGTTGTGTATTTTAATACACTTTTGCGGGAAGCAGATATTTACCACGTACAAAGCCAAACTGTCATTATATTAGTCACGATACCCGTATTGCGTTACCTGTGATCGTCATACATTGAAAGCCATTAGTATCAGCGCGCGCGTATGTCCGCATTTATAATTAAATGTATGACGTCCTATCGATATGTACTCTTATCTCTGCACGTATTAATTTACATATATGCGTATTTATTTGAAGTGAAATTAATTTCCTTGCTCTATGTTTATGAGTCCTCATCACGTGAAAGTTGTCCCTCTCTACTGTTTAATTCCATATAACCGCAAGTAAAAAGAACAGAAGTTTTAAAAAACGCTTTACAAAATAATAAATTAATTCTAACATATTGGAATATTTTGCGAGATAAAGGAAGGAAGAGAGAGAGAGAGAGAGAGAGAGATGTCAGGAAGGGGAGAGGGGGCAGAGGCATCAGGAAGCAAAATGACATGATAGATGGCGGGAAGAGAGGAGAGACGGATTCGGAAACGTAGCCTTGATCAAGTTGAAAACAATTATCGTCCCTCGCTCACGTGTCTCCGCGATAAATCTTTTCGGAAGTTGGCTTCAGCCGTTGCCAAAGGCGGAAACGTCGTGTCGACGTGCTGTCAAAATACGAAGGCAGTCGTGCCACGTGCAACCCCTGACCTTCGCGCCCTTTTTCCTTGCATTCATAACTGCACTCCACAACCAGACCCTATTGCGCTTTTGTGTATACATACACCCGCGTCGCGCAACGCACGCGTGTGAGATGTAAGCGCGTGCCACGGCCATTCGCGTATATTACATGAAGAACAATAATAGAAGTAGCGAATTGGTCTAAAAGATATATGTATCGCGCAGACATGGACGATTATGTTCTTTATACGTGAAGTGCACTTTTTCATTGTTAAAATATTCTCGAAGAATATCATTGATGCGAGCTCATGTATTTCTAAACGCATTCTGATGTCTTTGTTTGATTTTATTTGTTACGTCGCGCCGAAGAATAAAATTCAATGCGGTTTAAATATTACGACGATATTCTTTCTTTTGTTTTGTGCGTCTATCTATCTGTTTCCAACGTTATATTTGGTTTTTATTAAATATGATTACAATTCTCTTAAAAAACTGAACTTGATTAGTGCAATTTATAAATCGTATTCTTGGTTTAGCAAACTGATGTGCGTGATTAAGTTTTTACCATAAAACTGTCTAGAAACTTACCCTCCCCAGTCATCCCTCGTTTCTTCAGCTTTCCTTCCGGCAGCGGCGCGTGCAGCTCGATAATTTCCACATTTTCATTGTCGATATACTTGACGCGGGTTTTCCTCTCCTAGAAAGCATTAAACGACATCCGCGATCAGCGTAATCTCCCAATTACTTCTTAATGCGAAAGTAAATCACAATTCTCATCGACATCACACACACACACCGCTTTAATTATCTCTTCGATCCGCAGTACGCAGTCACAAATTCGAAATCTGTCAGTTTAATCTGCAAAATGTTCGCTACTGCGTTCCGCGCTTTTAATGGAGGTAAAAAACGGACGCGCGCGCGCGCGCACGCGGTTGCAAAAAAAAAAAAAAAAAAAGAAAAAAATACTCTCGAGTGCGTGTACGTTTGGCCGTGCGTCGGGACGGCGTAAATTCAATCCCGGAAAATTTCACGCTGCTAACTACGACAAAATGATCCAACAGTGACATCTGTGTCAATAAGGCGAATCCTCCCGGGGATTGCGCAAGGCCGGAGAATTCGAGGGTCCGCGAACGCGATTATCCTCATTCAATCATCGATTTTATTTGGTTAATAAAACGATTATCCCGCTTCCCGCACTCTACGAGTCTATCTCTCCGCTTGCGCTCAAACCGTTGCACGGCATACCCTTCGGGAGCGTTCAACCAAAAATGTAATTTACATCCCTTTATGTCGCGAGATTGAAATATTTGCGAATTAATCCGCGCGACAGAATTATCGCCGGCCATTATACGCGGCCCCGCTCTTTGTCTCTCCAGTTAACGTACTCTATATGTATCTCTCCGTCCCTCTCTTCCTCTCAATCTCTCGTTTCTCCTTCTCGCTCGCGAGCAAACGTCTTTTTTTCTCTCTCTCTCTCTCTCTCTCTCTCTCTCTCTCTCTCTCTCTCTCTCTTTCTCTTTCTCATCTTCCGCGAATCTTGCCGCGTTGCCGCTCGCCTTTCTCCTCCTCTCAACCTGCTGTGCCTTGAGGCGCTTCTTCTCATCCTAATGATTCCCCTTTATTCAATTCAAAAATATCAGTGCTACCCCATTTTACGGAACATTGGATTCAATTATGATTGTCAAGCCCCGGTAGACCCTTTTACTGCCAGACTCCTTCCAAAGTTTCTTAGATCGGCAACGTACAAAACGGGAATATGTAGAATAATTTTCGTTAACACTCGGATGGGACAATTATTTTAGATTTTAATTTGCGTTAATAGCTCATTAGATACGATCATTTTGCAAGTGACTATTTAACTTTAGCTTCAACTGCTTCACGTAAAGCGAAACAAAATAGAAAAGAAATTAGAAAAGTTTTAGTTTGTGTTCTTCTGATGTAAGAATGAACCTGATAGTAATTATTGTTGACGTTAAATATAGTGCACGGTGTATTATGAAATGTAATTTTTGCAAGAGATGAGTTATATATAAAAAATTGTACAAAAACGATATATACGTATGTAATTGAAGTAAATTTCATCTTATAACTCATGGAAGTTGTATTCGAGTTTTTTTTTTTTTTATTACAAACTAAACTTTTTTAATCTAGTATTGAAAACAGTGTATATAGGTGCCAATATTATTTATGAGAAGTGTAAATTTGTATATTGTGTAAGGTTTCAGTTCACATACACACACCCACACACACATACGCACGAGTTTAATCCAGCGATTAGAATTAAATCCACGACGCGGCGAGATCGTTAAACGATCGCGGACCGGAACTGTCAAGGGGGCGGCGGTCCGAAAGAGGGATGACGATGACGATATAACCCCCGACCAAGGGTTGCTCAAGAAGAGCCGGGACATAATGTCGAGCTCCGGGCTGTTAAACCGGCATACAATAATCTGCGCAGCGCCAATCCCGACGGCAGCATTCAATTAATTCTCCGGCAAAATTTGTCGCTCGTATTAAATCTCGCTGGATTAAAGGCAATCTCGCTTCCGCCTTGCCTTCCCTTCCACGTCCTTTGCCTCTGGCTCATCCTCCTGTGCTCCCGTCTCCATCCAGAATCTCTCCATCTCTCACCAGTCGATTCCGTCTTGCAGTCTCTTCTTCACTCATACTTCCACCCGTCATCTCAGCCTTCCGTCTTATTTCGTAGTTTACGATATCTGTAAGGTCTCTTGCGTAGCCAGAATAGATTGTACTTTCAATTAGGAAAACTGACGTCAAACCGACTTTGTCTGCTTGCAACGGCGAATAATGAAAAGTTTATTGTACATGTAAAAGCATATTACACACATATATATATAGTCGTGATTCGAGAAAATGTGTTATTCTTGCACAATTCAAGTTTTATTTATTGGACATAGGTTTTCGTTGTACGGAATACGACAAGTCATGTTCACATCGAACTTTCATAAGGAGACGTGCTCAGTTATAGCTGCATGTAGTCAGTGATTCAGGTGAGTGTAAATAAGGTATAACCGGTGGCCGAGAGTTTTTTTTATTATTCCCGCATCGAATACGTCAGGGTCGCGCGTCCCAAACTTTATTATAGATACACTCTGACTGGCGGAAGCTTCGATAGTGGTAGCGAGAGAAAGTTTCCACAAATTAATAACACGATATAAACATAAATATAACGACCTAGTAAACGGTAAAAAAAAGTACGTAAACGCTTACTGATAAACAGTGATTTTACGAGTGGAATAAACGATATGTTAGAAAATTTAATTATTAATCTTATGTTGTGTAATTTTTCACTTCTGACGTTATAATTCAATATAAAGTGCGCGGTGAGAGAGAAGCAATAGACTTAATTATTCTTCACCTATTTCGTTACGTGCTATTTCGTACATGCATGCTTACGAATTTGTAATGGGAAATATAATTAGAATAATTAGAATATTATATATTATCCGCGAAGTGTGTAATGTATCGGCGGAATTTGTGCCTCATCGTGCTCGCGCGCGAAAATTTATTAGTTTTAATAAAATCAGAATCATGCGAGAATATTCTTCGAGATGGACGAAGAATTCAGGGGAAAACGCACAGTCCATTAGCGAGATTACTTGTACCGTATCCTCTCTGCGGATGGTGCACGAATAATATCTTATGCCGGAGATTCCTGAAGAATGGATTTCATTTGGGGAAGAAATTAAAGTTTAATTTATACGATAGAAACGCGGGACGGCGGGGGTGTCTCCTATATTATTATTAGTTCACGTCGTCTCAATATTTATACAGAGCGATACAATTAACAGTAATTTCGTCGTATATATATATTGCGATTGATTGTGTGCTATATATTTTTGTTTTATATCACTTGCGATTTCGAAAGCCCAAGACCATTTTTTTTGAAAAATGGTCGCAATGCAGCAACGTAGAGCTTCAGTGGCAAAAGACGATAATTAGAAGTAGCGAAACAGTAACGGGACGCTTTCATAATCATTAAGAGAGTTAATTTTATATCTTCAATAAGTAATTACAAGCTTTGCTGCGGCTGTGGATCAATAATACGATCACATTGTAGCTACAGCTCACAGACTTTGATCACAAGAACGCAACTACTCATCTCCTCATAAGTTATGATGAAAAAAACTTAATTATAAAAAAAAAAAAATTGAGATTGAGAAAAAATTGAAGACATCTTACACGCAAAACTTACGCATACGCACACATTGGGAAAACATCTATATATGTATATGCGCGTCTATATAGGGGAAACGTGCGTAATGTAAGGCATCTACTTCCCGTGCTCAGTTCGAAGTGGTTTCAAAATTGCATCGGGGGTTCGCATCTTATTACTCACGTCATTTCCAATGTACACACACAGGTTATTGCCTGTAGTATCGGATGAATGAAATTGCGATATCCTCCGCGTGCGATTGAAGAGAGAGAGCCTAGGCACGAATCTAATTGGCAGAAGGATTACCGATCCACGTCGGTATATCTCTCCTGAAATTGTATTCGGATCACCTGCATGTTTCACTGCCGCGCGTAGAGAAGATTGAAGGAGAGCTTTCTGGAAGGGAAATTCTCTATGTGCTGTAACGCGCTCTTTCTATATCGCCTCCTTTCAAAACTGATAATTAGAAATCGTTACGTCTATTTTTATTGTTTTATTCAGTTTAATGTGATTAAAAATATTGTTTAAAAAAAAAACAATGATTTGCAATTGCATTTTTCTAGTTAAATTAATATGTTAATATTTGCGTACAATTTTTATAATTATTATATAACGATATCGCCTATATTATTGAATGAGAAGGGACTGGGGAAAAATAATGCGATCCATTGATTATGTTTCCGTACGGTTAATTAATTTTCCATTTGCACTCCGTTAAGTTTTAATCTTATAATAGTTTTCGCAATAACTACGCATTAACTTACGTTGCAATTATAGTGCCGCAATTTGTGAAATCGCTTCGCAGCGTGACATCGCGCGTCGTGTTTGGTGTAAATTGCATAAATATTGATTTCACGAGCGAATGTAAATAACTGTAAATCGTTTTTGCGTGTAGAAGTTGTCGTAATAAATGTCACGAGCCGAACGTACAATGTGTAAAGTGTTGGGTGTAAAGTTAGCCTTGGCCGTGTCCATCGTGAAGCAAGCTGCAAGTCTGGGGAGGTTATAACGGCGCCATAACCGTATACATTCGGCGACAATAATCGTTTTATGGTGGTCGGCAATATCGGCGGGTCGCGCACTGCCGCGGAAATTGATATCCTCTACCTACAACAGGCGCTAAAGTTATAGCGAGTGCGTTCGGCGCGATGCGACGCGCTGGATTTCGGTGTATCCGATTGAATAAAAAAAGGTTTATCTCAAGATAGGATTAGACGTATTTCACAGATTTTTTTTTTTTTTCTGTAACTTCGTATCTAAAATTGATGCGTTCTCCCCTCTTCTTTGTTTATTTATTCGGACACTTGGATTATTTATTTTATTCTCGCACTTAAAAGTGGTCTATTTACTATTTTTTAGTGAAATTTATATATATATATATAAAAACACGAGATAAATTGAAAGAACATCACACTGGGGTAATAGTGAATGAATCGCGACAAGAACGCGGTAAAAACTGATGAAAATTGCACGAGGAGAAAAGAAAGTGATGCAGCCCTTCTCTCGGGGCTGCGCGTTTC